TATTGTTGCTTGTTGTCCTTGAAGTGGAAGGAGTGTGTCAGGCTCATGTTTGTGCCTTCACCCGGATCTTCATCGCTACTCCTGCCAGCAACTCCAGGTAAGTGCCCTGTTGTGGGTACCACATGGTAACACCCATCCCAGCCTGAGGCCAGTGGTGTGGGAAGGTGACGGTGCATTCCTCAGGGTTTCCCCAATATTGCAGAATGCCAAAAGGTAGATCCCAGGAGCAGTCTAGCCTAGTGGTTAAGAGTGTAGGCTCTGACGTTGGAATAGTGGGTTCTCACCCTGACCCAGCATTCACCAGCTGTGTGACCTTGGTCAAGTTACACGACCTCTCTGTGACTCAATGTCCTCTGAAAAAGGGGATTAGAGTATCCACCTCCTTGGGCTGTTGTAAGGGTAAAGGCGGGTGTGAAAGTCTCCCTGCGTTGGGAGTAAAGCTATAAATCCAGTGCAGCTGGCAGGTGTCTCTCCAAAGGCAGTTTCTGTGGGAGGGGAAAGGGTACTAGCCAAGGAATCTGGGAGGCAGGCGGAGCAGGGGATGGAAGGAAAGTGGTTGCTGAGTGGGAGCAGGATCATTGTTGGGGATGTGGGATTGTCCATCTGTCCAACTGTCTGAGGGCCCACTCTTCCTCCAGCCTATGCATTGTGAACGACCAACTGTGTGTGAGGGACGTCAGCCTCATAGAGACCCAGGGTGCCTTCTCCACCCTAGTGCCCATACCCTCCTCCAGCTCCGTGCCCACTGTCTCCCAGGAGCAGCAGGAAGTGGTGCAGGCGTTCTCCACCCAGTCTGGGATGAACCTCCAGTGGCCTCAGAAGTGAGTGCTGGGAGTGGGTGGGCATGGGGTGAGCTGGGAGGAGCTGGGGAGTGAATGATGGGAACTCAGAGGTAACGTGTTTTGCTTATTTCACTCATTGTCGCACGGAACATTTTTCCTCTCAGTACACATTATGCCATCTAGTTGGTTGTGAACAGGTGCACAGTACTTTCTGAATTCCGTGGACCCTGTTCCTTTACCGACAGGCACTGGGGTTTCCAGGAGTTCTCCCCCTTACACACAGGGCCATAGTGCTCATTCTGCTACTTATGTCGTAGCAGACCCGGAGGCATGTTTCTGATGTGTAGATTAGGACGTGGCCTTGTGTGGTCAGTGTCTCCACTTTGGTCCTGATGGGTGTTGCCTGTCCCTCCTCCACCCCAGGTGCCTTCATGACAACAGCTGGGACTACACCAGAGCCTCACAGATTTTCACTCTGTCCACAGTGAGGT